CCTCCTCCTCCTCCTCCTCCTCCTCCTCCTCTTCCTCTCCTCCCTCCTCCCTCCCTCCCTCCCCCTCCCTCCCTCCCTCATTCTGCTCTTTGGGCCTCTCCTGTGCTTCTAGGCCTCCTCCTCCTCCTCCTCCTCGCCTCCTTCTCCGCCTCCTTTCTCCTTCCTCCCTCCCTCCTTCCTTCCTCCCTCCTTCCTCCCTCCCTCCTGTGCTCCTCCGAGGCCCTCTCTGGGACCATCTTGGCCCGAGAGGCGATGAGCGCCGCAGGATATGCAAGCACGCTGATGTCCTCCAGTTTTTGGGGTGCAGGGCCTCGTGGCATTTGCTCGGATGTTTCGCAGGTCTCTCGGGGCACGTTTGGCGACGTCTAGTTTTTTTTTGTCAGGAGTTATCTGCCTCTTGAGGCAATGTATGCTGGGCCGTCCTGGCGGCCTTGGTGGCCGTCCTTGGCAGCGCCGGAAGCCTTCGAGCGCCTCGGAGAGCCCCGAGGGGACGTTAGGTTGCAAGGGGAAGCTTCGGGAGAGAGCGCGGTGCACGCGGGCCCTCAAAGACTTGCATAGATCCTACCAGGCAGCACTGGGCATTCTACCGCACCAGGGGGCGCAGTGCCGGTTTGAGGGCTCTGGTGGTTCGGCAGATTGCCCCTCTCGGAGAAGTCCGGATCTGCGAGCTGCCGCTTGAGCAGCCGAGGCGGATGAGCTCCACGGAGCCGGGAAGCTTCGGGATTCGGCGCGGGAGAGCCGCAGGGAGCTCTCAGTCCAAGTCGGTTGTGGGTGGACGCCCGTCCCAGTCCAAGGAGTTCGGACGCTCTCGGTTTCTGTCGGTCCGCTCATCGACCTCTCTGGCCTGGTCTTAAGTCGGGCCTGTCCCTCGACAGGAGGAATATTCAACAATAGTAAACATGTTCCCAGTGCGACCCTACCTAGGAGTTGGAGCATTTAGGAAAGCAACATCTACATCTACACCGACAGCTACATTTACATCTACACCTGCATCTACATCTACATCAACATCAACAGCGAGACTCACATATACATCTACATCTACATCTTCACCTACAGCTACATCTACACCTACATCCACATCTACACCTACACCTACGGACGGAGATGATGATGCTGATGATGATGATGAGGAGGAGGAGGAGGCTGATGATGAGGAGCTCTACGAACGACACGCAGCTACGCTATGCTATGCTATTCTGCGCTGTGCTATACTAAGCTAAGCTATGCTCTGCTGTGCTGTGCTCTGCTATGCTGCGCTTTGCTTTGTTTTGCTTTGCTGTGCACCCAGCGACAGCAGGCTGTTCAGCACTGCTCGCGGCTCCTGCAAGTGCAGCAGGCTGTTCAGCACTGCTTGCACTAGGTTCAACACTGCTCGCGGCTCCTGCAAGAGCTGCAGGCTGTTCAGCACTGCTTGCAAGAGCTGCAGGCTGTTCAGCACTGCTCGCGGCTCCTGCAAGAGCTGCAGACTGTTCAGCACTGCAGGTCCGGCTTTGCGTTGCTTGTGATTTGTTTTGTTGTTGCTGTTGTTGCCTTGCCTTTGCTTTGCTGCTGTGCTATGCTGCGCTATGCTATGCTATGCTATGCTATGCTTCGCAATGCTGCGCTATGCTATGCTACGGTACGCTCGGCTGCGCTGTGTTATGCTAGGCTATGCTATGCTATGCTGCGCTATGCTAGGCTAGGCTATGCTAGGCTGCGCTATGCTGTGATATGCTATGCTAGGCTATGCTACGATATGCTATGCTATGCTATGATATGATATGCTGCGCTATGCTATGATATGCTGTGTTATGCTATGCTATGCTGCGCTGTGCTATGCTAAGCAATGCTATATTATGCTATGATATGCTGCGCTATGATGTGCTATGCTATGATATGCTGAGTTATGATATGCGATGATTGGCTATGCTGTGCTGTGCTGATGCTGCGCTGCGGTATGCTGCGCTAAGCTAAGGTAAGCTAAGCTAGGCTAAGCTAAGCTAAGTCAAGCCAAGTTAAGCTAAGCTAAGCGAAGCGAAGCTAAGCTAAGATGAGATAAGCTAATCCAAGCTAAGCTAGGCTAAGCTAAGCTAAGCTAAGCTAGGCAAAGCTAAGCTAAGATGAGATAAGCTAAGCTAAGCTTAGCTTAGCTAAGCTTAGCTATGATAAGCTGGGTGAACCCATGGGGCGCAACTGGGCGAACCCGGGGGCAGATACTCGGGGAACCGCCCGGGGCGAGGAACACTGACCGGCCCCTCGAAGCCCAGCGAGTAAGAACCCTCTAGGCAGAGCCTAGGTAGGGAAAAACAGTCTGGGGACGATGTTCCTGCTATTTTGGATTCTGTTTGAGTATTGTTTTACTTTTTTCCCATTTTTCGCCCAAAACCCGCCTGTAGGGGGGCATGCACGACCCAAGCCTGGTCGCACCGTTCCGTTGGCAGGCCTCGCGAGGGCTGGGCGGGCGCGCCAGGCATCATCCGGCACGTCTGCAACCTCGAGGCAGTCAACACGTACGAGGCTTCGCGCGGTTTTTTTCCCAGGAGGAGGAGGAGGAGGAGGAGGGGGAGGAGGAGGAGGAGGAGGAGGAGGAGGAGGAAGGAGGAGGAGGAGGAGGAGGAGGGAGGAGGAGGAGGAGGAGGAGGAGGAGGGAGGAGGATGGAGGAGGAGGAGGAGGAGGAGGAGGAGGAGGAGGAGGAGGAGGAGGAGGAAGCGCAGAGGCAGGGGACGAGAGGAAGCGCTGAAGGTGTTCGTGGGCGGGCAGGAACACACGCACAACCACACGCAGAATCACACACACACACACTTTTCTTGCGCCGGCGGCTATAGGCAGAGCGACTGCGCTGGCGCAGGGGGCATATGCTAATCGAACAAGCGCGACTTGAGCCGCGAGGCACGAGGGAGTGAGAGGATGCCCGGCGACGGCACACAATCACACACTTCTTGCGTCGGCGGCTGGGCAGAGTGAGTGCGCTGGCGGAAGGCCAATCACACACACATACACACACACACACACTTTGCAGGGTGATGGTGTCTTGAGTGCACACGCTGCTATCATAGATTCGGGCACGCGCGAGTAGGTTTCAGGTGCATCCGGGTTTTCAGGATCGGGTCGAGAGGGGCCGAGCAGATGAGAGGAGAGAGCCTGGATGCCCGCGGCAGTGTCCGCCACTGGTGCCAACTCGGGCGCTCCGTGCGGGGAACCCTCGGCGACAGCCCAGAGGGCGCGCCCGACCTCATTTCGAGGCGAACACTGCCGTGGGCACCAGGCAGCCCCGAAAAATTACGAAAACTGAGCCACATAGTCAGCGCGCATCCTCCACAAGTAGGTGCGCGTCGTGCCGACAGGCGGCGACCCCGCCGCCCACGCTCAACATTGAACGCTCAACATTGAACGCTCAACATTGAACGCCGCCCCGGTCGATGTTGAGCGACCTGACCTTTGGGAAACGGACGATCGTTCAAGGTTGAACGATCTCCGCGGTGTCAGGAACCAACGCCGAAGTCGGCACGACACGAACTTGCCATATTGTTATGATGTTCCCACTTACTTTAGCCTTGACCACCAGAAAGAATTTCGAGCACCAAGAAAGTACCGACACTGGATGGCTTTCACGCGTCGGACCCTGCGAGGCGACAATCGTTCGACACTGTTTCGATACTTTTGTGGGTGCTCGAGATTATTTCTGGGATGTGGTTTTTCAGTATTATGCGAGCAACATCACCGTATTGTCAAGACGCGGAAAGAAGGACCATTGGGCTCGGAAGAGGAGGAGAGGAGGAGGACGAGGAGGAGGAGGTGGACAAGGAGGACGAGGAGGAGGAGGACAAGGACGAGGACGAGGAGGAGGAGGAGGAGGAGGAGGACGAGGACAAGGAGGACGAGGACGAGGACGAGCACGAGAAGGACCACGATGGGCTCGGGAGGGGCTCGGGTTCTCGGGCCGTTCCCTGGGTCTGGGCCCCTTCGTGGCCGGGGCCCGCCGGGGCCAGAAGAGGAGGAGGAGGAGGAGGAAGACCACGAGGAGGAGGATGACGACGAGGACGACGAGGAGGAGGACGAGGAGGAGGAGGAGGAGGAGGAGGACGACGACGCGGACGACGAGGAGGGAGAGGGGGATGAGGAGGAGGAGGAGGAGCAGGAGGATGATGATGATGAGGAGGAGGAGGAGGAGGACGACGACGAAGAAGAAGACGAGGAGGACGAAGAAGACGAGGAGGAGGAGGAGGAGGAGGAGGAGGAGGAGCGAAAGGAGGAGGAGGAGGAGGAGCCCCTTCGTTCCTGATTCGGCGCTCCTCTTGGGGGCACCACTGGCTGTCGCCGATCGGGCGCAGGCCGAACAGCGCAGGCGAGCCGCCATGGCGTGTTGGGCAGCCCAGGCTCGGCGATGCGGCCTCGGGGTGCCATCCAGCGGCTGCGCCTCGCATGGAGCACTCCAGCGTCGACCACTCCTCCTACTCCTCCTCCTCCTCCTCCTCCCTCCCCTCCCCTCACTCCTCCTTCCCTCCTCCCTCCTCCTCCTCCTCCTCCGTCCTCCCCTCCTCCTCCCCTGCCCCGTCCTCCCTCCTCCTCCCATCCCTCCTCCACCTCCTCCTCCTCCTCCTTACCCTCCTCCTCCTCCTCCGCGCGACTACCTCCTCCTCCTCCTCCGTCCTCCTCCTCCTTCCTCCTCCCCTCCTCCTCTCATCCTCCTACTCCTCCTCTCCTCCGCTCCTCCTCCCGCCTCCTCCTCCTCCTCCTCCTCCTCCTCCTCCTCATCCTCCTTCTCCTCCTCGGCCAACCCTTAGCCTCCCCATTAGCCAGGTGATGGTCCTCCTCCTCCTCCTCCTCCTTCTCCTCCTTCGCCTCCTCAATGACGCTAATCCCACCTGTCGGCGCCTGGATCGGCGCGGATTCCTTGGATCGGCGCCTGGGCTCCCCTAGCGGCGCCTCCGGCGCCGCCCCTGGCGCGCTCCGCGCGCCAGGGAGGGGGGTCCAGCGCAGAACCAAGAAGTCCGCGCGGAGCGCCAAAAGTTCATGTTTATGCCGTTTTGATGATTCTCTTCTGAGAGAAGGGGAGCGCTAGGGGAGGAGGAGGAGGAGGAGGAGGAGGAGGAGGAGGAGGAGGCGGAGGAGGAGGAGACGGAGGACGAGGACGAGGAGGAGGAGGGGGGGGAGGAGGAGGAGGAGGAGGAGGAGGAGGAGGAGGAGGAGGAGGAGGAGGAGGAGGAGGAGGAGGGAAAGGAGGAGGGAGGAAAAGGGAGGAGGAGGGAGGAGGGAGGAGGAGGAGGATGAGGAGGAGGAGGAGGAGGACGAGGAGGACGAGGAGACGGGACGAGGACGAGGGAGGAGGAGGAGGGACGACGACGAGGCGAGTGAGGAGGAGGAGGAGGAGGAGGAAGGAGGAGAAGCAGAGGAGCAGGAGGAGAGGAAGAGAGGAGGAGGAGGAGGAAGAGGAGGAGGGAGGAGGAGGGAGGAGGAGGAGGAGGAGGAGGAGGAGGAGGAGAGCACGTGCGCCAAGTGCCCGCCCGTGCGGGCCACGCAGGCGCAGACCTTACAACGGTTTGTCTTGCGCGGCTCGACCCACACGGGGCCGTGCTGCATCACGCCGAGAGCACTCGAGGGCGCCAGAACGGGAGGCTCGCTTACGGCGGCGCCTCGCCCGTCGTGGCCCTGGGATCCGACGCCCCAAAACAGTTGGAGCAGGCGGTGTTTGGCCGTTCTCGGCCTCCGGGAGCCCTCGCCGGGCCTCGGGAGCGTCAAAAGCCGACTCGGGACGAGAAGTCGGTCCTGGGGAGAAGGTGCGGGCCCACTCATCGAAAAAATTGGAGCAGCCAGACGTCTGGGACCAGAGGTCCAAGTCCACAGCGCGGGACATCAATTGTAAGCGACCCGAGCCAGCTTGAGTTCGGCCGGCAACAGATCGCAGAAGCCATGGGAAGCCGCGTGCTGGTCTGGTGGGCCCCGAGTCTCGCCGAACCCGTCGGCCCACATGTTTCCCACCTGCCACCTGAGGGGGATCCCCTGGCCCAGGGCCTCCTCCAAGGTTTTGTGCGGGCGGGGGCCTGGGAAAGACTGGTACCTGAGGGCCGGCGCACTCGAAGAGGTTGCCCCAGATTCGAGCATGCCTGCCCTTCGCCGGCTCCAGAGACCGATCCCACGACGACCCCTCCGCCACCCAGCGACGACAGGTCCGAAACGGCGTGTTCGATGCGGCGAAAGCCGTGCTCCAGCAAGCGAAAAACACCCTATCCCTCGGTTTTCCCGAAAGTCTACATGCGATGGAGAGCGCCTTAGATGGCGCGAACATGCAGGGAGGAGGTGGCCATTTAATTAGCTGCACCGCCGAATCGCCGCAGCGCATCACCTCTGATATGGCGCTCGCGAGGCCCGGACCATCTGCGTAGGCTCCAGGCCCCAGCGATCCGGAGCAGATCCCCCCACAGCAGAACGGGCAAAGATGCTGCGGCTGGGGGCACAAGAAAATGCGCGGCGATACCGTACGAGCATTCAGAGGATTCCAAATTAGCGGAGGCTCCGGAAATAAGTTCTATGATGGCGTTCGGACGGTTTCGTGCTACTGCCAGGCGCTCCCGCACCGCGCGTCGCCCAACTCACCATGCTTTCGGAGCCGCCCGGCCAAGCCTCGACCTTGGCACCAGGCCGCGCGGTGGCTGCGCGGGTGCACTGGGGGAGTTCCCCGGGGGTGCCTGGGCTGCCTCCATGTCTACTTGGAGGACAAGCTGGGCCTCGCGGGGGGCCATGTCGACATGCTCTGGGAGGTGGGCTCGAACTGCGCACGCCTCAATCTTGAGCAAGGACCGACCGTCCCAGCATTCCTATAGGCCTGCCACGAAATCTTCTCAGAACCCAAACATGTTCGAATAACAAAACCAATGTTCTTATACCATAGACCCGATGTGTTAAAACAAGACAGTCCCAGCCGGAAAGGTATTAAGAACATTTCGTGCAGACCACAAGCGGTTAGAATTTTATTTGGTGGGCCTATAGGGAAGCCAGGACGCTTCGCCACCGCTTGACAATTCCATCGGCGTGGTTGTCCTCAAGCCCTGAGATCCGATGTCGTGATTTTTTCAATACGGGGCCTCCGGAAGTCTCGACCCATTCCCCAGGACCAGCTAGTCATCCTGAGTCGTTTTTTGACGCTCCCGAGGCCCGGGAAGGGCCCCCGGAGGCCGAAAGCAGCGAGAATTTTCCCGCCGTGATTTTTCCACGACGCGAGGGCGTCTGGGAGATGGGCGATCGGAGCATTCAGGAGGGGAAAAAACACACAGACACAATTAATCGTCCATCCCCAGGAAAATATGGGAAAACATGGGAATCGGGGGGGAAGACCAAAACCCAGAAAATATAGGAAAATATGGGGAATCCTGCCATTTGTGTGTATTTATTTGTGTGTCCCAGGGCCCCTTCAAGGGGGTCTGGGAGATGGGCCATCGGAGCATGCCCGCCACCGACCCCGGCCCTCCAGCAGCTGCTGGCCGCGCCGCGCACCATGCCCCGCCGGCTGCTCTCGGGGC